GGATTTTTTTGTGTTGCAGACAGGAAACTACATTTCCCAGCATCCCTGGTGTGACGGAACTATCTTTCCCAATAGCCTGAGTGTGAGTCAACGAGACTTCCGCTTCTGCCCACGGAAAACTAAGGACGTGATGAATCGATGGGCTTTACGGTGTCTCCGCTGTGAGGGCTACCAGGGCTATTGGGCTTCTGTCCCGCGCAGGCGTTTCTCGCCAGCCCTGCGGAGAGGTGAGGGAACGCAGCGCGTCGCCGATGTACAAGTGGCTGTACAGGGAAATGATGCCAGTGTGTTGTGCATTCGCAGGCGAGGGGGAGCAAGCGTGCCACGCCCTCCTCCCCAGCCCTACCCTGGAGTTAGAGACCCTGCTGTTGGTCCTGAGGGCATTAAGGGTGTGGACTGGAAATTGGCCGAAGGTCTTGTGCTGAGTGCTAGTCTCTCTGAAGGCTTGGTGTTCCCCCTAGGCTTATTTCTGAGCCCTTGTTTTCTATCAAATGGGGTCGGTAGTTACTGCCCTCTTACTGGTTTATCGGGAGCAAAGGTAAAGAAATATGTGTTTCTTTCATGGTCTGTTCAAACTTAACACCATTATGTAGGTGCTGGCGCCTACAAGTGCCCATCTAGCTAGCACGCTGCTGTTCTGAAGGACATCTGACTTTACTCTAAAACACATTGCCATGATCCTCCCCCAGCCGCCCCCGCCCCCAACCAAACAAACACTTTGTCCACAACCTAGGCACTTTGTACTAACTAGCATTCTTTGTTCACTTTCCTGGATCGTCAATACCAGGTAAAAAGCATCCAAACATCCTTCACCACCTCCACACTTTTTTGTCCCATTTTATGGATATATAGTTTCTTTCTTCCCTAACAGTAGTGTTGTATTTCTTACAGAATAGTAGAGAAGGCTACTTTAGATAGGGGTATAAATGTATTTTTTTATTATTATTTGTTTTGTTTTATTTATACCAGCTGCAGCCAAGGCTGCAGGTGTTGACTTCTATCTAATAAAACAGCTGCTTAGCTCCCAAAGTCACTCACAAGGTCTTCAGTTACGCAGTAGTGTTTACCCTACATCCACATTATCAGGGACTGACTGTTAAGCTATCAAAACTAATGGCTACCTCCAGGATGTCTCTGGGTTGACTTCAATCTCCAAGTTTTCTATTGGTTGGAAAGTTGTATAGGAAGGAATCACATTGTCTTTTAAGTACGTGAACATATTAAGTGATTTAGGATACATAAGAGAGACAGCAGAGGGTGACAGCTTTGGAATCAGATGAACCTGAGTTTGAATCCTGACTCTGCCTCCGACTCTATCATCTTAAGCAAATCTGTTTACCTTTATCTAGGCTCAGTTTTTATTTCAAAAAATGTGGATACTTTTTTCCATGGTATTATTACAGCATCTAGTATGGTACTTGTGTTCAATTAGTTATTGTTGCTGTTGTTGGTATTTGCCATTGAGTGGGACCTGACTCAGCGGGTTTCTGAGGCAGTATTACTGTAGAAGTAGATTGCCCAACCTTCGTTCCAAGGAGTGGCTGGTGGGTTTGAACTGCCAGCCTTCTAGTTAGCAGTTAAGTGCTATTAACATTTAGCATTCATTAATGTCTTGTTAAGAGTTGTGTAAAATCATAACATACATCAATGATCTGGATATCACTACCTCATCTCTAATTACTGGAGAGCAGACACTGCCCAACTCTCCTCACTGCTCAGTAAAAATCTTGTGTAGATATAATACATGTATATATATGTATATGGTTAAGTTAGGCATTATTTCACTTAGTATATTCTAATAATGAAGTTGTATATGGGCAAGATTCTCCCCAAAAGCAAGTATCCTTTTCATCAGCAATATGTATGGAGGACTATTGTGTCTAGGAGCTCTGGTGGTATAGCCCCTAAGGCATTTGACTGCTAACCAGAAGGCTGGCTGTTCAAACCTACCAGCCACTCCTGGGAACGAAGGACAGGCAATCTACTTCCAGAGAGATAGCACCTTGGAAACCCAGAGAAGAGTCTCTTTGAGTCGTAATCCACTCAACAGCAGTGAGTTTGGTTTTTTTTTTTTTTTTATTGTGTCTAGTTTAAAATTAGGAGCTCTGGTAGCATAGTGCCTAAGGCATTTGACTGCTAAGCAGAAGGCTGGCGGTTCAAACCCATGAGCCACTCCTCTGAAGGAAGGTTGGGCAGTCTACTTGTGTAGTGATACTGCCTCGAAAACCCAAGGAGGGGTCGCTATGTTGATGGCTGTGAATGAGTTTAAAATTGAGAATTTATTGAAAAAGGACAAAACCACATTTTAAAAGTGAGAAATCATTTTAGGTCTCCTGTGTTGACACCAGTAGATACTTGAGGGTTTAAAATTAAATTAATTGATTGATTCAACAATAAAATATTGTGATCCTTATGTTCCAAGAACTGTTTTAGGTGCTAGAGATACAGTAGTGAAAAAGACATTAAAGGCCTCATAAAGCTTCCATTCCGGTTGAGAGACAAACAGCAAGCAAGAAAGATAATTTCAGCTGAGAACTATGTAGGAAATAAATTATGGATGTGTACTTTACTTCTCTACCTAATAGTAGAGAAGACTCTTTTAGATAGTGTTATAAATATTTAAATATATATATAAGCACTTGACTGCTAACCAGAAGGCTGGCGGTTCAAATCCACCAGCCACTCCTCGGAAGGAAGGTTGGGCAATCCTACTTCCGTAGTGATACTGCTTCGGAAACCCAAGGAGGGGTCACTATGAGTCGGGGCCGACTCGACGGCACATAACATACATAACATGTATTATATCTACACAAGATTTTTACTGAGCAGTGAGGAGAGTTGGGCAGTGTCTGCTCTCCAGTAATTAGAGATGAGGTAGTGATATCCAGATCATTGATGTATGTTATGATTTTACACAACTCTTAACAAGACATTAATGAATGCTAAAATAAGAAAAAGAAGTCTTTCTTGAATGTTTGCTATGTACAGAATAATGTACTAGAGACTTCAGGTGAAAGAGTCAGAAGCTAAGAGGAATCAGTTAACTTGGTTGAGATAGCAGAACTCCTAAGATTGCAGAAGAGATGGAATTAAGTATAAGGAGAAAATGCTTTAGAACCTAAAATGTTCTACTATAAGGCAAAAAAAAAAAAATTGTCTTCCCTTTTCAGACTTTTTAACCACCACAACCAAGGAAGGATATGATGTCAGGCAAGTTGACATAACTCCTTTAGAGCAAAGGAAATTAACTTTTGATACCCACGCACTGGTTCAGGACTTGGAGACTCATGGTAAGAAACATGGTTATCTCAGAGAAAATTAACAATATTCATATGATAATAAACTACATAGTCAAGATAATGCCACAATTATGAAAAATTAAAAATGACTTTAGTGGTATTCATATGGTAGACTATTTTACAATTATTAAAAATAGTATTGCTTGAAATATATTTACTGATGGGGAAATGCTAAGATAAATGTAAAAGCAATTATATGAAATTGTATTTGCAGAATGCTTCCAATTATTTTTTTTTATTAAAAAAAAAAAAACTTAGCACTTACAGGCTGATACCAAATTCCATGTGGAAGTACAAATGTGCAAGAATATTTAAAAAAGAAAAAAAAAATTTCCAGATATCAAGACAGTAATTTAAATATCTATAGTTACAAGAATAGAAAAGTAGATTACTAGACTAGAATGGAATTCACATGTATATACATACTATATATATGTATATATACATATTATATGCACATAATATATATACATGAATTTAATATGTGATAAAGAAGGCATTTCAAATTAGGGAAAGGATGGCGGGAGCTATTGCATAAGTAAGCTACATATTAGATTTCCTTCCTAAAAAATAAATTCCAGATAAATTAAAAGCTAAATGTAAAAACTTGAAGTGCAAAATTACATAAAGTACTAAAATATAGACTATTATCATACTCAAAGTGAGGAAGCAAGACAAAAAACTTGAAAACAATGAAAGTAAAAGATGTACTTAGAGAAACATTTAAATCTCTATACCAAAAGATACCATCTATAAAATTAAAAATTCAGCAACACAAATGACAATGAGCCTGTTTCTTTAATATTCAAAGAGTTCTTAAGAATCAATAAGAAAATGTTCAGCAGTTTTATAGGAAAATGGGTAAGGCTATAAATAGTTTGTTCACAGAAAATAAATAACCAATAAATATATGTAAAGATGGTTGACCTCTCCACTGACCAAGGAAGTGCAGATTTTAAGTAAAAATTAAAATAACAATGCAATACCATTTTAATGCCAGTTACATATTCAATAATAAAGACAAGAATATCCATTATTACGTAGATGTGGGGAAATAGGCCAGTGAGAATTGAAATGAATGATTTTAGAGTAGTATTTAGCATTATCTGTCAATTTTTTTAATGATAAACATTTTTAAAATTACATAATTTAAATGTTGAGGAAAATTATTCTGTCTGTTCTCATAAGGATGTGCACTTTGTTAAAAATATAAATACTTATTTGCTGTTTATAGGATTTGACAAAGCACAAGCAGAAACAATTGTATCAGCCTTAAGCAGTCTATCCAATGTCAGCCTGGATACTATCTATAAGGAAATGGTCACTCAGGCTCAACAGGTAATACACTGATTTTTAAAAATTCTTATATTTTCAGTGGACAACTTTTTTTGTAACAACATCTCTAGCTACCCACCCATCTTCCTTGCTGTACTTCCTAAAGGGACTGAAAATTTAAAAAAAAAAAAAACTTTACTAAAGGTAAAAACTTAGGAGTTAGAAGAATCATAACATTATAGTAATACAGAGAATGGGATTTTGCAGTCTTTAATTGTGTGAGATTATATTGTTTGAATCATGAGATGGTGATAAATTGTTAGTGCAGCAGCTCCCACATACACACCCCCAGAAAGCCCACACAAGAGAAGAGCTAACTTTCCTATATAATAAATGTTCTTATGGATACAATATGTATGCTCTGGTTAATTTTCACAGACTTAAAAGGCTGAAAGGGATTTTACAGAATTACATGGCTGGGAGGGATATCATAAATCACCTGGCCAAACAGGCTGTATTTGACCAGATACATAAATCCTTAAAGTCATATTTAATGCCATTTACTAAATAAAGGATGCGGAACAAGGGATATCATTGCTGATGTCAGATGGATCTTGGCTCAAAGCAAAGAATACCAGAAAGGTGTTTACTTGTGTTTTACTGACTACGCAAAAGCATTTGATTGTGTGGATCATAACAAATTGTGGATAATATTGAGAAAAATGGGAATTCCAGAACACTTAGTTGTACTCATGAGGAACCTGTACATAGAACAGAACCTGTTGTTCGAACAGAACAAGGGGATACGCATGGTTTGAAATCAAGAAGGGAGTGCATTGGGGTTGTATTGTTTCCCCACCCTTATTCAATCTGTATGCTGAGCAAATAATCCGAGAAGCTGGACTATATGAAGAAGAATGCAGCATCAGGATTGGAGGAAGACTCATTAACAACCTGCGATACACTGACGACACAACTTTGCTTGCTGAAAGTGAGGATGACTTGAAGCATTTACTGATGAAGATTGAAAAATACAGTTTGCAGTGTAGATTACATCTCAATATAAAGAAAACAAAAATTCTTACAACTGGACCTGTAAGCAGCATCATGATAGATGGAGAAAAGATTCAAGTTGTCAAAGACTTCACATTACTTAGTTCTACAATCAATGCCAATGGAGGCAACAGTCAGGACATCAGACGACGTAGAGCACTGGGCAAGTCGGCTGCAAAGGACCTCTTTCAAGTGCTGAGGAGCAAAGATGTCTCCTTGAGGACTAAGGTGCATCTGACACAAGCCATGATATTTTCAGTCGCCTCATAAGCATGTGAGAGCTGGACAGTGAATAAAGAAGACCGAAGAAGAATTGATGCTTTTGAGATGTGCTGGAAAAGAATGCTGAAAGTACCATGGACTTCTAAAAGAACTAACAGATCTGTCCTGGAGGAAGAGCAGCCGGAATGCTCCTTGGAAGCAAGAATAGCCAGACTTCGTCTTACCTACTTTGGTCATGTTGTGAGAAGGGACCCTTCCCTGGAGAAGGATTTCATGCTTGGTAAGGTGGAGGGTCGATGAAGGAGGGGAAGTCCTTCAACAAGAAGGATTGACAAAGTGGTTGCCGCGATGGGCTCAAGTAGAGCAGGGATTGCAGAGCTGGTGCGGGACTGGGCTGCTGTGCATAGGGTTGCTGTGAGTTTTGATCTTCTGTGCATAGGGTGCTATGAGTTGGAGATGACTCAACAGCACCTAACAACACCACTAAGTACTTTAAAATATGAGGCACAGTGCTGGGTACTTCTCATACATTATTTAATCCCTCTAATAACCCTGAGAAGTAGATAATTGTATTTGTACTGAAGGGAGGCTCAGAGAAATTGAATAATTTGTAAGAGTTGTCATTGTAGTTGCAGTGTAGTAAATTACTTAGTGTGGCTTTTCTACCCATAAGTCTTTGTAAACTCCAAAGTGGGATTTTCTGTGAGCAACTGAGGAGCTCCTGATTGCTGAAGTTGTCCACCTGGAATATTTCTGTTGGGAGTGGCACAAAACAATGTTCTGGGAGGTGCCCACTCTCTCTCAGGTGCTTAGAGTTCTGATGCTATGA